GAAAAGAAAAGAAAAGAAAAGAAAAGAAAAGAAAAGAAAAGAAAAGAGAAAAAAGAAAAAAGAGAAAAGAAAAGGTTTTGCTAAGATAGTGATTACAGGTGAATCTGGAGGAGTAAATCTAATTATTAGTAATATATTGCAAAATACAGCTAGTAAGCACTGTGCTGAAAATAGTTAATAAACATGTAACAGTCTGTCCTTCCAAACTTATCATCTGATCACAGCTTCTGCCAAGTGTCTGACAAAGCTTGTCAGGCTTCCTTCATATCTCGCCTACTAGTATGTATCTGCAAAGGAAGCACTTGAAAAATCTTCTTTATCCTTTTTGTTGGATACCTGTTATATGGCTTGTTAAAGTTGTGCACCCAATCAGCTAGGTTCTCCGCTGGAGAGAAACAAGTATACATCTAATGTGGCATCCACCTCAGAGAGATGTCCCTAAAGTCAGTGGAATGAATCTTTTATTGAAGGCACTTGTCTGTTTCCTTTGCGCCCATGGTGAATATAGATAGCAAGCTAACACTGGATAATAAGAGAGAGTGGGAAGAAACTGATGGACACAGAAAATTCTTGATGGACTAAAAGAACAAGCTTCCCCGTCCCCTAAGAGAGAGAACATGAATAATGTCAGTGATGGGACAGTGATTCCCCCTCACTTGTTTGAGATCACTGTAACTCTGACTATCCACAGAGTCTTTCATCCCAATTGCCCACCCCTGCCATTAACCCCGCTTCTCTCACAGATTTGATGGAGTCCAGATGATTCTTATTGGCCATGATCTCTGCTTGGAAAGTCTGATGCTTCTGCAGTTTGGTCTGCAGATTGCTTGGATCCTTCCAGCTATCATCCTGGGCAATGCTATTCTTCTCATTAATCCAGGCAGCCACCTTTGGTGAGGAAAGAACAAAAGTAACCAAAACCTTCAGTGTTTCTTCAGGTGCAGCCTGTCAGTCTCTCCTCTTATATGTATAAAACAGGGAATCAGAGAGTGGGGACCCAAGTGAACTGTCCTTCTGAGGTTCTGCTTCCCTAAGCTCCTCCTGTCCTTCATAAAGTCACCTCTCTATGTCTGCTTACCAGCACTGTTACCTGGAAAGGGGGCTGTCTCCATCAGGTAGGCTCCATGCAGTGCGAAAATGCATGGACACCTGTGTGCATGAAGGAGAACAGACAATGATGTCCCTATTTCTAACCCATTGTCAGCATCTTCTCATGGGTTTTTAAATGGTGGCACATTCTCTTTTAATGCTTTCATTTCTTCTGCATTTTGCTGGCATCCATTTTACATTAGACCTTTCATCTGATTGCTAGAGGGAAGATGAAAAAATATCCCTTTATTCTTATCCTCATTTTCCCCAATATTATCTCATTCCAGACTCAGTTCCTTGATTTTTCTCGCAGTAAATCTGTCCAGGGATTCAGACCTATGCAGCATAGCATGTTTTGAGAAACTAGAATACTAGTAATCCTGTGTAATTGTACCTCAAAGGAATTCCTCAGGAACTTCTGCAGAAGCCTTGATTCCTCTAGCAAATGTCTGCGAGCAGCAGCATTCTCCAGCAGTCTCTCTTTTCTGAGATGAAGACAGATGTGTGATGTCAAAATCACAGAGTGAGTTAGATAAGGGTTTTCAAATTTCACTTCCAGAACACACATGATCTAACCCTCCATTCTTTAGGAGGGAAATGTCCATAACACAGACTCCCTTGATCTGAACTGTTAGAGAAGATGATCAGTGCACTGATAGGAAGGATTCCTAGCAGATAGATATGCTTAAACTACACACAAATTCTATACATATGATATTTGCCTTTAAGGAATAACCATTACTGCCTTTCAGAGTTCAAGAGAACATAAGCTCAGCATGTTTCTTATGTGGAAATACTGTAAGCATCATGGTATTTGCAATGCATAAACCAAAGCTACACCATCCTCTAATCTTTTTACCAATTTTGGATCTGCAGCACTTTATTCATGTTAATGCAGACTTGAGATAATAATAAATTGTATCAAATAAGATCATATTAATAAATTTGTATGTTCACTTTAATTATAAGGGATCTCCAATCTCTTTTCATAACTTTCATGTATATCTTTTCATCTACTGTAGCAATGAATACAACTGCTTTTACTGTCAACATTTGTTTATGATGAACAATATGCAACATGCTACAAGAAATAAAGTAGTTCACATGAAAGGGCGAGATCTGATCAGAAATTTGAGCAGGGCTTTAAGATCAACCCCATTAGAGCAGTGAAAAAGCAGTTGTCTAGCTAATGACCTATCTTGATGGTATTTAATGATAATGAATTACTTAATGGCACAGCAGACCTCAGTCTTTTGTTTGCAGCACTGTCCTTAAGGCCAGGCCAGAATATAGAATTACGGAAATCTGCCTTTTTCTGAATCCTGCTCACCCTCCACTTAAGTTTGCATTTTGGACACCTCCTAATGAAATAATTATTAGGCTCAGGCCAATATGGGAATACCACAGTGAAAAGCACAAAGGTGAGCAAATGCAAATCAGTTTTTAGTTCTCTTAAATCATTTAAAGATATTAATCAGCGTGGAGAGGGTCTTATCACAGAAAGGATGACATGGGAAAGGTTTGACTTCACCTCCTCAGAATGGCCTGGCATCTGTTGGTGATATTGTCTGAGTCATAATGCTTATTCCGCGTTAGCTGCTGAGAAAATGAAGCCATTTCATCAATTTTCTCCATCTGAACTTCCAGTGCTTTTTCAAACTGTATGTGTTTCTGCTGTAGGCTCTCCACACTAGACAGTGAGTCCTGGATAGAAGACAACAAAAGGTAGCTGCTTTCAGTCAGAGTTTTTCCATCCACAATACTGATAATCCAGAATCTAAATGGCATTTACCCCATATTTGCAAGCTAGCTGTCAAGAAAATTTATTGTTCTTCGAAATGTATTGGCATTGAATATGACACTTGGGGCCTAAATAAGGTTCTATGCAAGGTCTGAGGTCATTATTTCAGAGTCAAAACTGAACTAGCTGCTGGATGCTTAGTTTCTTGTGCATATTGTTGTGCTGCATAGAACGCATAACTTCTCAAGAAATAAAACATCAGAGCCTAATTATAAATCAATCTTAAGACAGATGCTATGTTCAAAGCAAATGTGGAATGCCAAACAGAAATCACAGTTAAGTGAACAAATATGTCACAGAAAGAGGTTAAAATTAGAGCCTCAGTTTCAACTCATGGAATTTAGAAGAGCTCAGATCCAGATTTGAATTTGAGGACTAAAGTCTGACATTGCAGTTCATCTGGAGAGAAACACAGAACTTGACTTCTTGTAATGTTTGTGAATCCCAACCTTAATGACTCAGAGTTCTCTTTGCAGCATCCCTCTGGACTTTTAATTATAGATTCAGTGGTGTCAAAATGTTGTTACCGTGATAAACTCTGCTTCCCCACAACTCTAAAGGAAGCAATAAAGCTTGCATCAAATGGTTCAGAAGAAAATTTAAACTTCTGGGTGCTTACATGAGTCATTGGATGGGAAGTTACTCACAGAGTATTTTCCGTACATTGCTGAGCTAAATATGATTGGGTGACTCCTTGTAAGTCTCATACTGTAATGAAAGGACTGTAAATATATACCTCTATGCCAAGAATTACAGAGGCAGACACCAGTCACTAGCATTTTATGGTTTTCATACCATTTGTACACATTGTGTCTATACTGAGCTCTGAGATGTCATTGTAATTCCTGCAGAGACAACTAATTAGGTAGCACCACCTACACAAGATGCAGGATAAGCTAAGTATCAGAACGTATATCTAGCATCCTGCACAGCTCTTGCAACCCATACATCACTTATTGTGATGTTGCTGATACCTGTGATAGGTAATTTAAAGCTAAACTGGGTATGTCATCAGTGACAGCCGTGATGACTTGCGTACTGCTGGCAAGTGTATTTGGGTCAGATATGACAAGGTTGGGCTGAATGGAGCATTGAGCAACCTGGTGCAGTGGAAGGTGTCCCCACCCATGGGAGGGTGGTTTGAACTGGATGATCTTTCAGGTCCCTTCCAACCCAAACCATTCTATGATTCTATGCAGTCTCACTTTCCTGTTATAATCAGAGCAGTTGGATTGTTTCATTACTCTTGGGGCTGAAAATCCCATTCTGTGTAAAGTATCAAGGAAAGAAATCTGACCCTAAAACACCAACAAGACAGAGCAGTAAGGAGAAAGACCACAGGAAGGTTCAGAGCACATTATCATACTTCACAGTCCCCTTTCCATCAGACTGATTGCAGAGAAAATTGTAATTTCTCAAAGCACATACCCCTGAGTCCTCATTAGCTAGGAAAGCTTCTTTGCTGCTGAGCCAACTCTCAATCTGTTCCACGTAGCCATAGAATTTCTGTATAGGGAAAAAAAAAGCAGTCATAAACATGAAAAAATGCTGTAAAAGAGAGGCTAACCTGATTTCGGCAGAGTACACCGAAAACCCCTGAACTTTCACGGCTATTTAAAAAATTAACTGCATAGCACTGGATGGCAATAAGCACTAGATTCTAGAAAAAACATATGTAACAATTATTATTGTGACTTTCTCCTTAATAATAGGACTATTTCTTTTTGTCTAAGACATAGGATACAATGTAAGTATTTCTAGATTGTTTTTTAATGGTGTAGAGAAGGCTGCATAAGTAACTGGCCAATGAAAATTGAGTAACATGGCTGGAAATAAGTAGCATGTAATACATAAAGAAGCATTAAAGCAGCCCATACCATATGATTTAAGTTCTCATATATATGAAGATTTTTGATGGGACTAGTAGCCCAGCTTTTATTTAAAGTATTTGACATTCACCATTGTTAAAATCCCTGTTTGAGCAGAAATTTTTTAAGTAAGATGACTGTTACATGGAAGTATTTCTAGGAAACTACAGCCAAAACAGTTCTTTTCCTAGGGAAAAAAAACCAGCCAGGGAAAAATTAATTATTCTGTTAATGCTAAATTTGTCTTCAGTTGTTTTTTTTTAAATACTTGTCTGGCTCCATGTTTTTTGGGAAGGTTATAGAATTTGGTAGAGTTGTGATGTTGCATTTTAAGTATGTGTTTTTTTCCAGCTGTATGAGAGTTTGAGCACACTTTGCTAAGTTTTAAAGGCTTTGAAAAATTTATGAGCACATATTTCACAGAAATTTCTGTGATTGTAACTTAAAGCCCTGTAAGCACTAAATGTGCTTGGCCCTCAGCATGTCTTCTGAAAACCAGTGAAATATACATTAAACACTGGGTATTATTAGCATATCTTTCATTATACTATCTCACAAATTTGCTGTTTTTATCAAGGAAAACTGTCAGTGGCACGTGCATTCTCTCTTGTATGTCTTTTTACTCACCTGTAAGTCTTGTGCCTGAAACAATTTTATATATCGCTCTTTCCATGCTTGGATCAATTCAGACCAGGCTAGCTGTAGTCTGGAGAGGGACTGGTGAATTTCGGGGGTTGCATAATGACCAGAATTGGCAAGTTCTTTACCATAGTCACTGAGAGAGTTGAATCTTTCCACTCGTGCTTCAATCTCCTCCTAAAATATATTACTAAGGTTAATGTCAAGGGTTTATGAGAAGCCAATTATTCAGAATACAAGCCTTAAGGGGAAGAATATGGGCTGTAACTTTCCAGCACTAATATTTGTATGGAAAATCATTCATCTTTCTTTGAGCTATGTTACTGGAAGAGCATAGAATTGCTAAGAGAAAATAAGTGTAGAAAATAAATTACTTTATTGCTTTAGGAATAACTGTTCTCCTACAAATGAAAATTGGGATTAAATTAGAAACAGTCTACCTCCAGTCTTCCTACATAAAGGTAGTTCTTATGAGAGACAGTGCCTAGAATTTTTCACCTCCTGACATATAACTTGGCATCAGATTTTTACATTAAAGACATAGTTTTACTTTATTTTGTGGTGTTAAAATGAAATACATTTAACTTTTGCACCTGATCTGAGGAATGAGTTATGTCCATATACTGAGTCCTGGAGGCAAAAACAACTATGGCCCCTGCAAACTGAATGTGGAATTTCTAATGCATGCAATTTGAAAATGAAAATAACCGTGCACTGAAATAATACCATGTATTAACTCATAAACTACCTTAAACACTATGACATGTACTATTAAATTTGTGAAATTAGAACTGCAGCTTTTAGGGATTTTTGGGGTTGTGGTCTTGCCTAATCATAACACAGCTGTAAAAGAATAATTTCATGGGTTTTTTTGTTTCACATTAGCATCTTGTGTTCACCTCTAGTCTCCCTGAAGGTCTTTGGTTTGAGCCACTAACCTGAATGAAAAAAACCCTCAATTTTTCTTGTGTTGTCTATAATTTTAGTTTAGTCAACATAAGAACATATTGCCTGGATTCCTCCTTTTCTGTGTGGCTGTCTCAGAGCCATTTGGGCTCCTTTACTAAAAACTTAGATCTTGCTTCCTTTTAAATTTCGAGCACACTACATCAGTGGTTTGGGATATTTTTAGTGTCACAAAAGCATTGTGAAGTCTGTGATACAAGAAAGCATTGTTAAAATTAAAGACCAAAAAAAAAAAAAGAGGGAATTTCAGGTACTTTGTACTAAATTCAGGTTTAGAAAATTAATCGGAATCTACTAACTATTTGTGCTAATTATGGGACCCATAAAGCACTGGATATTAGTCATGATTCTGAGAACACAATTTTTAGAAAAAGTAACATAATTGCAGAGAGGATGTAAGAAAACAGCTGAAAGACAGCTATGATGCTTGGGAAAAAGTAAAATATTGATTTTTTTTTCCCTAAGGTTAATTAAGAATATCACTCCTTTTAGAAAAGAAACCAAAAATATTAGCCAAATTAGTCACCAAAAGATTGTTGCAATTGAAGTGTTTTGGAACTGAATGAGTAGCACTGTTCAATGGTAATTTACTGCCCTGTGTGAAACAAACTGCTGTTTCTATTTTTCTCTCAGGTAAAAGGAGTTTGCATGAAAAAAACTGACTCAAAGCCAGAATTGACTGGCATGAACTTTTTGGGCAATCTGAATAAAGAGATAGCAGCAAGCATAGTGTGATACTGAATCTGTTTTTTAACTACAGGCTTGGACGGCAGTACAGGTGAGAGCTAATGGGGCTTTCTGAGCCTTTCTGCAAAGACACAAGGTGTCAAACAGCCCACGAGACAGAGTTTTGTCAATATGTAGGTGACTTCTATCTCTAATCTGGTATTGAAAAGTTTTTTCACCTGTTACTGACAGATGCATGCAGCAAAATTCTGCTGTATCTGCAGCAAATAATTCCCACGGGAAAGGTTCCCAGTATGTTCAATTGGAAGCAATGATGATACTTGCCTTTCTCTCCTGATGCTCCTCAATCATACTTTCGGCTTCATTTGCGCTTTTAGGAAGCCCCCCTGCTTCCATTAACCCTCTGATATTTTGGGTCCAGTCTAGTAACTCCTTCATCTCCAAGTTGAATTTCTGTAACTGGTATGAAGCTGCCAGCTTCTCCTTCCTGCCACACAATGTGCAATTCAGCATTATCCAACACAGAATTATTTAGTTGCTTCTCTCTCCCCATTTGCAAAGGAAAGTATCTTAGGAGAAGCCAAGTGAAATGAATTCAAGCTTTCCCTTACAGTTCCTAGCAGTCCTCATGTTAACTAAAATCATAGGAAATGCACACTGCCTTGGAGACAGC